CTGCAGTTGAGCTATCACCGCCTGTTGGGACTGTAGCATTTCGAAGATCATATGTAGGTTGATCCCATCATTTTTGCTGTCATGTGTGTTCTGGGCGATCGAAGGGACTTCCCTCCGCACGCTGTTTTCGGGGTCGGTAGGTTGATTTGTATCGATGACCAAATGTGAACATGCATCGATAAGAACCTCCACCAGGATTCTGCGGGGATTGACCGGCCGTATTTCGTTGTCGAGTGCTGCAATGTTGTTCCTGCCATGGTGGCTGGATTTCGTGTCCATGTTTAGAGGGATAGACTGTGGGTTTGACACTTCGATCGTGACCTGAAATAAAAAATACTTCAAAGAGCAAGTGTAAAATGGGGTGCGTTATGGTGATTTGTATCAAATCGCCGCTATTATCCTTAGCCCCACAGTGGGCGCCAAACTGTTTACCCTCAAAATCGGATAATAATTGAATTTGTTAGTGGTTTAAAGGATATGCGTATTAATTTGAGACTAAACGATAAACTTGATTGCAATTGAAATAAATAACGATAAATCAACTGCAAACCAGAGCTGAATGTACTTTGATTGACACCAAGATATCGAAGAATAAGAACTTAAAGAATAACGGTAATGTATTGCTTATGAGTGTATGTTACAATGCCTTTCATGAAATGCTAGGCTCCCTTTATATATTAGAGGAGTCCTACTTTTAAGGTATTATTCTATTGTTCTATAAAAGGTAAAAAGTCATTGATTTGCTGACTGTTGCCCCCCCTTTTTTGGTATGTTCCGTGATTTTTGCCGCAATATCCGGTTAATTACGGGAATTTCAGACTCTTGTCGGGTAAACTGGCGATATTTTCCTTGCGACCGTTATAACCGGGACCGGTTAAGACCTCGATAAATACGAAGGCAAGTCTGATGGTTCCGATGGCTAATTCGGCAAGGCATGAACCGACCTCTGGGGTTTTATCACCGTCTCTCGATCACAAACTGTCATGTTGGATGCTCGGTCAAATCCAGAGTTTGATTTTACCCGTATACAAAATGTCGAAGAAACTTGGTCCGATTCTTGTTAAGAAAAATATTTTGAAGCATGTCGCTGGTTATTAGGGACCTATATTAAGAAAATATTTCAAAGCATAATTGATTAAAAATATATTTATTAGTGTACTTTTTTCTCGAGGCTATTTTTTAAAAATGTTTTTGGGAAAAATCATTAGATAACGAAAAAGACACGCAAAAAGAAAAGAAAAAAACACGAACGAAGCTAAGAAGAACTACCCAAAAAGAGAAGGATTACCTTTAAAAAGAAAATTCACGAATAGAAAAAATGTGAAATACAGCGTGTCATAATATTTTATGTATAACTTAATCATATAAAAAGTAAAGCACTTCCATCTACGACCGTTATGTTTTGAATTCGAGTCACGCTTGAAGGGAAATATGAAAACACTATAGATCCATCTAATTTGGGAAGAATTTAAAAATAAAAATTATAGAAAAAGTGATTGAAGTTTTGTTCTCATCTAAAGTACGAATTGAAAAAGGTGATCCAAATAAAACAAATGCTAGGGATCATTACACGTCACTCGACTTTTAATCTAAGTATCATAAAATTACTAAATAATGTCTATAACAAAAAGGTCACTTGGCATTTCCTTCAACGTTGGCTAAGTCACTACTATTATATCCGCTATCAATATCATCAAGTACTTTGAAATTAAAAGGTCACTAATATTATGTCCATTGTCAAATGACTTTATGGAATCAATTCCTTCTATAGTTATCAAAGTTACGAGGATATCCTAGCAAAGTTATTTTTGTGTTACTGAGGACAAAAAAATTATCCAACAATTATCTTTTGATTCAAAAAAATAAAAAATACATATTAATATACCATATCATATTAAAATCCTATTTTTAATAATAAAACTCATTTAACGCATGGCCCAAGTACCCATCTAACCCACCCAACAGCCTATTCATATTCCCTCATATTCATTCGTAAAATCAGATGAGATAAAACATAATATTCTAGGGATCTAAAGTAGAATCTAAATATGAACTTTTCAAAGAAAGAATGCATTCTTCTAGTTCTTTGAGGATTAATTTAACAAATTTGTAGAGGGGAATTGTCCCCGGTCAACAGCCGATCAAATGGACTACCACGACGTAAAATCTAAAGGTCTTTTAGTTTTTCTGTCCTTTAAGTGTAGAAAATAAAATAGTTTCAAATACCCAACGAGTTATTGGAGTAATTTTCTTAAAAGTTCGGATTTTTCTGCTTGTTTGTGTTTGAATCGGATTTTTCTATTTGTATCTATGGTTTGTGTGTGTGTTTTCTGTATATTTTCATATATCTGTTTCCGCCAATGAAAGACTTTGTTGTTTTAGTTTTTATTCAAAGAAATTTCAGTACAAACTTCACGGAAGAAGAGTTCTCTGGAATACTTTTTTTTTCTTAGATTTTTTTGTCTCACAAGATTACTCAAAATAAGATGCAATTTTTCTGAAAATTTCAAAAGAATGCCGATGCATACATACTTATATATTTTTTTTATCGATATCATCTGTCTATTGTAGGAGTATTCAGATGGACCATTGCTCAACAGTTAATATTAATATGTTGATTAATATATTGACTGTTTAACATGGACCATTGGCCAAAAGTTAAGAAACAATAGTCGTAATCGTGTTAGATTTGCATGTAGTTTGAAAACAAATAGTTATTCACATTAATATATTGATAGTAAACCCATTTTTATGTCCGGTGGGTTAGATGTGCACTTGGGTCATTTGTTAAATGAGTTTTATTATTAAAAAATAAAATTTTAATATGACATGGAATATTAAATATGTGCTTTTGTTTTTAATTTGAGTCGGTGATTTTTGGTCTTAAATAAAACAAAAATGACTTTGATAGGATTTCTTAATAACTTGGGTGACCATTCAAGGAATTAACTATGACTTTATGTGATACTTAGGAAAAATTGAGTGAGTTTTTGTTACAAGTTTTGTGATACATAGATAAAATTTGAGTGATTTCTTCATTAAATTTAACCATCTTTTGTGCAATAAAGTAAACGTTGAATGATTATCCGTTAACTTGTGACATGAACATCACACCAAGACCTACGGAAAACTTGATTCTCCATGAAGTGTTGCGTAACGTTTAACACTTTTTCACTGATAATAATATTCTATACAAAGAACTTTCAATTAATTTCAAGAACTCAAATCCATTTAATTATTCACACTTCAATTTTGATGTGATTTCTTTTTTCTTTAACTACATTTTCGACCAATTCTTTAATATTGCCTTCTAGTGCCACCAATATATATGTAATATCAAATAAATGCGCCAAAGGGAGCCATATTTTACTTATAAGTTGATGCCACATAAAAATTATACTTTTCGTTTGGCCCATCTAATTTGGATTCACGCTGAAAATTTTCACTTTAGGGATATAATCTTCCTGATAAACAACTAAAAATGCATATTTTTTGGTGTACTTTCATCTCATAACTTGTGTGGTTGCGGGAGGTTACACGAGTTTTTGTAGTGAGTTATGCTCATTACGTGCATTCTTATGTGTAGGAGCAAGTTGGACGAAAGGTGAGTAAAAGAAGTTGATTCGGGACCAAAAGACAAAAGAAGAACTTTGCTCGTTCACTCTCGCGTGCATACAAGAGAGTGAACGAGCTAGCTGAGGAACGCTTGAAAAAAAAAACCCAGTAAGTCTGTTCCAAAGTTCATTCTCGCGTGCGCATGAGAGAGTGAACGAGCTAACCTGAAAAGTCTGTTCCAAAGTTAGCTTGTATTATTTCGCCCCATGCTAAACCTATACCGTATAAAATAGTCTTTAAACTCACTTTTGAAGGGGGGATTCGACCAAAAGAGGCAAGAACACGCAAGGAGCAAGGCGGAGAATTTTTCTACGAGTTTTTCACTTTCTTCTTCCTATTTTCATTATTGGTTATGAATTTTAGTATTGTAATTTTACATACTTTTATGAGTAGCTAATTCTGTTATCTAGGGTTTTGATGGAATATTTTGTAGGATGAATTCTTGATACGTTTTGATATAATTGTGTCTTTGAATTTTTCTATTTGTTCAATTATGTGCTTATTTTAGTTAATTGAAGAGCTCTCAATTAACGGTACCTATTTATTATGTATTGCTTAAAAAAGAGTACATATTTAGTGGTTGTTGAATAACGTCACTCCTAACGTATATAAGAGATCAATACGACTGGGTTTAAAAGCGAGATTAGAGATAATGAAGCTTTGACGTGATCATAGTGAGCGGTGAAAAAGTGTGAGCTAGCGTAATTCGAGAGAATACGACTAGTACATTATTGTAGTTGCTCGAGAGAGAATTACGATAAGTCGAGTGCTCACGATCAGTAGAGAATAATTAGGCGAAATTATAGAAGACGTAGCGGGAAGAATTCCGACAATTGGAGAAATCATAACTCTAAACCTCCTTAATCTTGTCTCCAACCCTTAGTATCTTTAGTTGTTAATTACTACTTTAATTTATTAGTTAATTAGTTAGACATAAGAATCTTAATATTTATAACTTAGGAATTGTTCGAACTTGTCTTCTTAGTGATATCGAACAGTTATAGTGAAACCTTAGTTCTCTGTGGGATTCGACTCGCATGGGACTTTTAGACCGGATTTGCAGCGACTGCTTATCCTTTTTAGGACTAGAGCTGGGCGTGATCACTCCCTGTCAAGGGGACTTCATTCTCATGATTCTAACCCAATAACCAACCATGAACTACCCGCTGCAAAATCATTAGATTAAGATGATGCGATCCACAATTTAAGGGTGGTACTATTTTATAGCACATTGGTTCAGTAATTTCATAATCGACCATGAATAAAATAGAAAAAATAGGAGAAGAAAAATCAGGTCAAGATTGCATATACTTTACTTTAACGTATCATTAAATCATGATTAATATTCAAAATTTACTCATTAATTCAACTAATTTAGATTCCCGTTGAATAGTGCCATGATAAAGGATAAACACTTCTTATCAAGAATTTCTCCACTCTTAGGACTTAAACCTCGACATCTTATTGAGGTGGAAGAAATTTCTACTACATCTTATTTTGTCCTTAAATGGTTCTATTTTTGGAGTTACCACTTGGTCAGTGTGTAAAGCGCAAAAAAGGCAATAGTTCCTCCGCAAGGTACCCAAAAGATTGGTGTTTCATATACTTATTGCATGTATATCTATGATAAAGCTGGGCATAGTAGATCTGATGTGGCATCTTCCAGAAATGAGGATTGTTATTTATCCTTTTTCCTGTTTTTTTTTTAATTTTATCCCTAAATTTTTCTGTTTATGTTCTCTGATATGATAAACAAAAATGTAATGGTCTTCCGAAAAGATTGAAACGATTGCAAACAATTAATAAAAAGTGAAACGGTTGCAAAAATAATTAATAAAAGAACGGTAGCAATCTGAACAGATGCCTTCCCAAATAAGAAAAAATTTACAACGTACGGTGAATATAATGGTGCCAATTAGTATGCCACTCTTCCTCCTTGAAACCAATCTTTCAACCCATTTTGCTCTAGTTCATAATTACCTGGAACTTGAGGGAAGCTTGGGTTCTCGATGCTTCTCCTTAATGCATAGTTCTTGGTAACTTGACCAATATTTTTATTTTTATTTTTTGAATCTTTTATCATATATTCATCAAGTGCTATTACTTATTAGTTTTATTCCTCTACTGAGTTGATTAAAAAAATAACCTTAATTCCAGAAATAACAGTGTTGCAGGAAGAAGCCGATAAAGACATTTACATGCTAAGATCCGTTGTCTCAGAGATTATTAAGGTAAAAATCTACTTAAAGATAATTTATCGTTGATTTCGATTGTGATTTTAACATATTTTAGTATTTTCACCTTATTTTATTGTGCTTCAAGAACATTAATTTTAATTTACTTTTCAGTAACTGAGAAAATATATATGAAGATAATGTGGTCCTATAAATTTGGTGGCATTCAGATATGGTGAATCGTTTTTTTTCTAACTTCTCTTGAAAGTGTTCTTACGACACAATTTCATTAGTTTGAAGTGTTTAGTTGGATATTTTTTATTTGAAGTTCTAATTATGTGAAAGGTATAAAGAGAAGAAAAAAACGTTATCTTGAATATTCCTGTTGGAAAGGAAAAATAACAAAGCAATATCCCATTTTCGTACACTCATGAATGAGGTTTTTCCTTCTTCATTTTCGGGCTTGGTCCTTCTCTGTTACTTGAATTTCCTTTTTTCCTTTGATGATTTACTTTTTTCAATTTATAGGATGAGTAATTAAAAAATTAAAATTGAAAGAAGCAACTTTTGGAAGTTTTGTATTTCCCCGTGTAAAACCCGGGCTAATGAGCACTCCGATTTCCCAGTGGGGCAAACGAAGTAAGGACGTAACTACATGGAATCAGAATCAAAGCTAGGAACCTCTCGTACTGAGGCCCGAGCAAAGCGCTTACCACCGGAGCCATCTAGACCCCACCCCCCCAAATCCGGTACGAGCTCTAAGACCCCGAAAAGCGTTACCAAACGGTTGCACACGACTAACAAAGGGCCGTGATATCCGTGTCCAACCGGATATCACGGCGTGGATCTCGGCCCGTATCGACAGCAGATCAGTGATTAACGAAAAAGAAATTTTTTACCTTTCTTAGATTGTACTAGGGATGAAACTCTCCTACTATATAAAGGGGGTAGTTTTTATTCCAGAACAACACTGTAACACGTATATCAAGACAATATAGACTTGTTTCTCTACTTCTAAGTTATTCAAAGTTTTTATTGTTGCTCATAGTTCTTCATATATATTTGGCTCCGAATCGAGGGTAGAACAATCACTAAGCTCAGATCCGAGCCCAAAATTAACATCACAACCGGTTTGGTTATTTATTTTATCGTTAATTCGCTTATCTAACGTCATTGATCACTTGTATCGAATTAATCCACATATCCTTAAAACCACGTATAAATTTAATTGTTATCCATTCTTAAGGGTAAATAGTTTGGCGCCCACCGTGGAACTAAGGATAATAGTGATAGTTTGATACAAATTTCCATTACACACTCTATTTTACACCTGCTCTTTAAGGTTTCAATTTCAGGGCAACTTAAGAATGTCAAATTCTCAGTCTGCACACTTGAACGTTGATGCTGAGTTTGGCCATCACGGCGAAAACAACAATGTGGTGCCTAGCAATGAGGTACCCTATGCTGATCCCAACGGAGTCCCAGTTGCAGATCCGGTCAATGCTAACTCGCATGTGGCCATCGACGCCAACTTGCCTACCGACCCCGAGAACAGCGTTAGCGGAGGAGCCCGACCAACGGCTCAAGGAACGCCCAAAGGTGAAGGCAACATGGTTAGCCTACTAGTGATCTTCGAAATGCTACATGCCCAACAAGCGGTGATAGCGTAGCTACAAAATCAAAGTCGCGCCCCCAGCAGGGTCGAGTCCGAACCATCCTGGAAAAACACATGGAGAAATGAGCAGATCACCGAAAGGTCGTCTGGAACTAAGACCGATGTTAGCCCCGAAGTTATGAAGATGCTTGAAGCATTAACAAAACGGGTGAAATCGAGTGAAAAGAAAATTGAGGCAAATGACAAGAAGGTAGAGACATATAATTCCCAGGTCGATCAAATCTCCGGAGCACCTCCAATACTGAAAGGCCCGGACTCCAAGAAATTTGTCCAAAAGCCTTTTTCTCCGAGCGCAGCGCCGAAGCGAATCCCGAAGAGGTTTCGCATGCCTGATATTCCAAAATATAATGGAACCACAGACCCAAATAAGCATGTGACCTCCTACACGTGCGCCATCAAAGGGAACGACTTGGAAGATGACGAGATCGTGTCAGTTTTGCTAAAGAAGTTCGGAGAAACTCTGTCAAAAGGGGTGATGATATGGTATCACAACTTGCCCCCAAATTCGATTGATTCGTTTGCTATGCTTGCAGATACCTTTGTGAAAGAACATGCCGGGGCCATCAAGGTCGATACCATAAAATCGAACCTTTTCAAGGTAAAACAAAGGGACAACGAAATGCTCAGGGAGTTCATATCAATGTTTCAAATGGAGCGGATGGATTTGTCACCGGTTGCGGATGATTGGGCCGTTCAGGGGTTCACCCAAGGACTTAATCCCCGAAGCTCCTTGGCTTCACAACAGCTAAAACAAAATTTGGTAGAGTACTGTTGATAACTTAGGCTGACGTCCACAACAGGTAACAGTCAAAAATCAAAGTCGAGGACGATTGGCTCGGGCCCCCTTCTAGGTCTGTTTACACCATCCGGACCGAAAACAGATCTAAGAGAGTCATCGATCATGAACCGAGGCCGATTCGAGACCGATATCAACCGTATAGCGGAGATCGAAGAGGTAACGGATCTGGGCATCACCCTACGAGGAACGAAAGGAGGAGCGATCGAGGTCAAAGTAGTCGGGGTCTGATGAGCAAAAGCGATTTTGATAAACCACTCGGGGCTAAGGAGGCACCAAAATTATCAAAATATAACTTCAACGTCGATGCTGCCAGCATCATATCAACCATCGGGTGCATCAAAGAGACCAAGTGGTCTCGACTACTACAGTCCGATCCTACCCAAAGAGATCCTAACTTGATATGTAAGTATTATGACACTCATGGCCAAATGACCGAGGACTGCCGACAATTAAGAGAAGAAATGGCCCGATTATTCAATAAAGGGCATCTCCGAGAATTTCTGAGCAAACAAGAAAAACCTCGCCACACGATAAACATGATCATTGGAGGGGTTTATGTCCCCCAGGGACCGATGATAAAGCGCACTAAAGTGTCCATTACAAGGGAAAAGTGAAGCCAAGATTATATCCCGGAAGGAACCATTTTGTTTAACGATGAGGACGCCAAAGGCATTGTACAACCGCGTAATGACGCACTGGTAATATCTGTACTTATAAATAAATCTCGAGTTAAGCGTGTGTTGATTAACCGAGGTAGCTCGGTCAACATCATTAGATCGAGGGTCGTAGAACAGTTGGGGCTACAAGATCAAATAATGTCGGCGGTCCGGGTGTTGAACGGATTTAGCATGGCATGCAAGACTACTAAAGGGGAGATAACCCTACCGGTGAATACAATCGGGACCATCCAGGAAACAAAGTTCTATGTGATTGAAGGGGATATGAGATATAACTCTCTATTCAGAAGACCATGGGTTCACAACATGAGGGCGGTACCATCGCCCTTGCACCAAGAATTGAAGTTCCCTGCACCAGGAGGGATCAAGATAGTGTACGGAGAGCAGCCGACTGCAAAGGAGATGTTCGCAGTCGATGAAGTACTCTCGGTACTCGCCGTTTTGACATTGAAAAGCGCGGAGCCAACTAGAAAGATCGAAGTTAAATAGCAAACACCGATGCCGGTCGGGATCAGGGTCGTACCGGAGGGAAGAGAAGTCGATGAGGAAGATGATTATGGAATTCCGAGATTATTCATAGCTCTAGATGATATCGACGCCACCAAATCGACGGTCGAGGAGCTGGAGTAAGTCATATTAATCGAACACCTACCGGATCGAAAGGTATACCTTGGCACAAGGTTAACCCCCGAGCCCAGGAAAGAACTTATTAGTTTCCTTAAAACTAACATATCTTGTTTTGCCTGGTCCCATCTTGATATGACAGGGACCCTGCTGGAGATAACCACTCATAAGCTAAGTTTGGATCCGAAGTTCCACCCGGTCAAATAGAAGAGGAGGCCTCAGTCCGAAGTCAAGCATGCATTCATCAAAGATGAGGTATATAAACTCCTTAAAATAGGTTCAATTCGGGAAGTTAAATATCCAGACTGGTTAGCTAACGTAGTGGTAGTGCCTAAAAAGGAAAATAAATTTAAAATGTGTGTAGATTACAAAGACTTGAACAAGGCATGCCCTAAGGACTCTTTTCCTTTGCCTAACATCGATCGCATGATCGATGTGATGACTGGTCATGAGATACACAGCTTTCTCGACGCCTTTTCCAGGTACAACCAAATCTGGATGGACTCGGGCGATCAAGAAAAGACTTCTTTTATCACTAGTTCGGACCTATTGTTATAATGTAATACCATTCGGGTTGAAAAACGCCGAAGCTACTTATCAACACCTAGTACACTGGATGTTCGAAGAACAACTAGGAAAATCAATGGAGGTTTATATTAACGACATGTTAGTCAACTTCCTACGAGCAGAGGACCATTTGAAACATTTACAGGAAATCTTCGATATATTAAAGAGATACAATATAAAGCTGAACCCGGAAAAATATACATTCAGGGTCGGATCCGAAAAATTCCTCGGGTTTATGGTGTCAAACCGAGGGATCGAGATCAATCCCGATAAAATCAAAGCTATAGAAGACATCACCGTGGTGGACAATGTCAAGGCCGTTCAGAGGCTAACCGGGCGTATAGCCACCCTGGGCCGGTTCATTTCGAGGTCCTCAGACAAAGCCATCGGTTCTTCTTACTATTGAAGGAGAATAATAACTTTTCTTGGACCCCGGAATGCTAACAAGCTTTGGAAAAACTCAAACGGTACCTTTTGAGTCCACCCCTGCTCCATACTCCGAAGGCGGATCATAGTTGTACCTATACTTGGCAGAATTCGAGGTGGCGGTAAGTGGAGTCTTAGTCCGGGAAGAGGAAGGTATGCAATTTCCTATTTACTATGTTAGTAGAACTATAGGCGAGGTCGAAACAAGGTATCCTCACCTGGAAAAATTGGCGCTCGCTTTACTAAGTGCCTCCAGAAAGTTAAAACCATACTTTCAATGCCACCCTATATGTGTTATAACCTTTTATCCATTGAGTAACATGATCCACAAACCCGATCTCTCCAGCCGGTGGGCCAAATGGGTAGTCGAAATTAGCGGGTACGATATTGAGTATCGACCTCGAACCGCCATCAAATCACAAAATATGGCAGACTTCGTGACCGACTTTACGGCGGCTTTAATACCTGAAGTCTAAAGGGAATTACTATTAACCTCGGGAATTATCTCGGGAGTTTGGACTCTCTTTACAGAAGGTGCTTCAAACGCAAAGGGGCCCGGGCTCGACATCGTGCTGAAGCCACCTACGGGTAACATAGTTAGGCAGTCTATTAGAACTGTGAAATTGATTAGCAATGAGGCCGAGTATGAGGTTATGAGACCATGATTGCAGGTCTCGAATTGGTTAAAATCCTTGGATCCGAGGTGATCGAAGCTAAATGCGATACCCTCCTTGTGGTAAATCAACTCAACGGGACGTTCAGAGTAAAATAACGAATGCGAAGGTATTTAGACAAGTTATAGGTAACACTGCATCAATTCAAGGAATGAACCCTACAACATGTGCCCCGAGATCAAAATAGCGAGGTCGATGCTCTCACTAACTTAGGGTCATCGGTTGACGACAACGAATTCGGTTCGGGAATAGTCGTACATCTCATGAAGTCGGTGGTAGAAGAAGGCCATGCCGAGGTAAACTCGACAAGTTTAACTTGGGATTGAAGGAACAAATACATAGATTATTTGAAGATTGGGAAGTTTCCCTCGAATCCTAAAGAATTGAGAGCTCTGCGCACGAAGGCGACCAGGTTTAGCCTGTCCGAAGGGACTATGTTCAGAAGAACATTCGACGGCCCTCTCGCCATATGCTTGG